CCATCAGAGTCCTGCAACGTAAATCTGAGAGAGACTAATGCAAGTGCCCTAGAAATTTCTCATACTCCACTCTGAGCAGAGCAACCCATCCCCAGGCCTGGAGGGACCGCCAGCAGAATGGATTGCTCCGGCTTAAAAGGCCCTGGGAGGTGAAAACGGTGCACACCTCAGCTGGGAACTGAAAGACTGGAGGTGGGTGTCTGCTCACAGGTGCCGTGGAGGGTAGTCCTTTGACACAGCTGAGGTCGCCATGAGTCAGAATGGATCCAATGACAACTGCAGGTAGCAGGTGATATCCCAAAGCAGGCCCATGCACGCGTATACACACACACACACACACACACACAAGAAATATACACACGACTAACATCCGCACGTCATAAGGAAACTGGAGGCACAGGTTTTGTTGGCATTATAGAACAATGCTACAGATGAGAAACTATTTCACAAGGTAACCACACGGTGCCAGTCCACTGGCTCTAACCCTTCCCGAAGGGTGTTGGCATCTGAGAGTAAGAAGAGAAAGCATCTCAAGAGAACATCTCGAACTCTGACAAATTCAAATCTCCTCCGCTCGGCCTAACGAATCACCACACCCAAAGCGACTCCTGTCCAGTGGCTTCTACCTCATCTGGAACTTCTAGGCCGGCAGGGTGGTCTCTGCTGTAATCTTTACGGAGCAGACGGACACCTCTTTCTCCTGAGCTGCCAACCTTTCTGTTGGCTGACAAGCATGTAAGCCACTGGGCCACAGGGCTCCTCCGATGATCCAAATATTCACAATCCCCCTGAAGAAAGCTGCCTTGGTAACCGGACCAGGGAGCCCCAGCCTCCACTGCATCTCATTTGGCGGATACGCATGGCTCCCTCCTCACTGGCCCTGTTGCTTAACATGAGCCTCTCTACTTCTCTCCTGGTTTTCTCATGTTTGTATATTCTGAGAGAAAGCTGCCTACGAAACAAAAACAGAAACCGTGTGTGTGGGGTTCACCGCATCGCTGATTTTGGTCCAGCCTGGAGCTTGACTGAATAACGTGCCTTGAGGACCTTCTCGAATGAACAGCCCTGAGCACTAGGAATGTTGCCGGCACTCAATCGTGCCCACACCGAAAGAGCAACCGAACCCGTTGTCACCGAGTTACTTCTGCCTCCTGGAAACCTCCTGTGGTGCAGCATGGGCCGTCCTCAGGTTGTCTGAGCTGGCATCCTCAGAGAGGTTACATTGCAGGCCGTTGTTCCACAGGGCCACTGGTGGGTTGGAACCACCGGGGGTGGGAAAACTTTTTCCTGTGAAGGGCTATTTGGATATTTTTAGCATCCTTCGTGAGCCACACGAAACCATCCAATGAAAAACGAGCTTGTATTTGGGGGGACCACCATTTAATTACCCCACCCCCTAAGGTGATGACGGGGACTGCTTCTCTTTGGCAAGGTGGGTGATGTCAGCTGGTATTGAGGGCGCTGGGGGCTTCCTAAGGATGATCCCCACCCTTGGTGGATGGAGGCAAAGAAATTCAACCCTGCTATTGCCATTGAGGCAGTTCCAGCTCATCCTAGGCCACGGGCATCGAGTCAGTTCCTGGGCTGACACCAGACTCACAGTGCTGTTCTTAAAACAAGAAAATTCCCTAAATCAAGGTCAAGTCCCTTCTGGAACAGCAATGCCCACACAACCCAAGTGCAGTGGTGGAGACTCACGTTCTAGTCTGTAATGGAAAACTTACGGCAGCATCTAAATCCTCAAATGACCCTTGTCCACTGTGAGATGCTTAGGCATTTCCTCTTAGCCTCTGTAAATTGGGGTTAATGCTATTTTACTAAAGATCGAAAGATTAACGAGTTAATCCTTATAAATCTCCTTGGAATTGAAAAAGTGCAAAAGGGGGGTTGGAACACCACGGCACATAACTTAAATTCACAGCCAGAGATTTGGGATTCTCACTCATAAGAAGAGACTGCGTTACGGGGGCAGTAAAGGGCAAAGTTTCTCGACGGCTGACATAAGGGCGGAATTCAAGGGAAGCCTTCGAATGAACACGGGAGGAAAAGAGCCAAAGAGAAATGCATTATTCCTGAAATGATCTCAGTGAGATTCAGTCCGGAACGGCTTGGCTGGCTCATCACTATTAATTAATAAGAATTGAACACCTATTGGGCATACAGCCTTGACTTGCTCTTAGCTGCTCTCAGCTTAATGAAAGATGCATGGATTTCTTAGCGAATTAAATTTAGGTTCTTGACAAAGACAGAGCTTCTAAAGGGATGCCAAAATAGGACGGAAAATTAATGCTGGAGGAAACTGGAACTCATCCCGACCCTGCTCGGCTTTTCAAAGGGGCTTTGCCTTGGTGAAGGTGAGTCAAATTTCCTTGAGCCATCACCCTGTGTTTGGAAATCTCTGGCTGCAATTCAGTCAGGCTGAGATCAAGTTCCGTCCCAATCTGCCTCACCATGGTGGGTTTAACCCAGGTGGAAACAGCAGGTGACAGTCGAACACAGAAACGAGCGGGGGAAGGCACGTCAGAGAAAACCTCAGGAAGACTCCCACAAGCCACTGCAAAAGGCCATGGCAGTAGCTCATCCCAAAGACCAGGCCAAAGAGTCCGAATTCATCAGAACGGTGCTGTGGTTGCGCTGTCGCTGTTCTGGTGTGGCCTGTGGAACTTATCTGACTCCGAAATCCTACAGGGCGGAGGAGGTCTGTCCCCCGGGTTTCCTAGACTGTAATCTTTACCGAAGCACCTCACCGGGGCGGTTTTCCTGTTGGCTTCAAATTGCCAGCACGGCTGAGTGCGTAACCACGGTGCCTCCTTGGAGCCTTTGATAAAGTAAAATTTAAAAATAAAATAAAAGCAGACTCACTGCCATCAGGTCAATTTCAACTCATAGCCATCCTGGAGGACAGAGTGGGGCTGTGGAACTGCCCTGTGAGTTGCCAAAAGTGTAACTCTTCGCAAGAGTAGAAAGCTCCTCTTTCACCTACAGAGCGGCCAGGGGTGTGAACTGCCGACCTTGTGGTTAGCAGCCCAGTGCCTAACCACTGTGCCACTAGGGCTTTAGGAAACCTAAAGTCAAATAATCTCAAATATGAAAGCTTATGATGTGGCATCTCAACAATCTATCAACTTATGGGTGTGACACAATGGACGGATGTATCGATTGTGATAAAAGCTGTAAGAGCCCCTCATAAAATGATTTTTTTTTTTTATCTATCAACTTGGTGAACCAGGAGAATGAGAAAGAAAGGTGGTTTAGGAGCAGATTTCCAGCTACACACTGACCAGAGATCTGAAATCCCTCAAAGCAACACTGAAGCGTTTATAACATCCTTTACAAAGAGAAGGTGAAGTGGAGGAGGAGGGCAAGAAGAAGAAAGAGGGGGAAGAAGAGAGGAATGAAGGGTAAGTCTCTGAACTTCTTCACGGGTTCATCCTTGTGAAAAGATTTGTGCTACAACGGATCTGACACAATTCCAACCCAAATCGCCAAAAGCTGCTCCTTCCACTAGAGAAACCACAGAAGACTCGTGTGAGAGCAAAACAACGTGCAATCGAGCTATGTGTGTAGTGAGCAAAGGAGCGGAGGAAAGAGTATCGCTGAGGAGGTAACAGGCCACAACTCCAATAGCTTGGGTCTGGGGTCTGGGCACTGGCTGGCACGTGCCTGGAAGCTGGCCCAGAGGCGGTGATGTGCTGCGAAACGCAAGCAAAGGAGACGCACATGAGGATCTTGAGGAGCCTGCCACGCACTCTTCAGACAAATCTTGCACACACACAACACAGGGCTGCTCATGTCCGCAGCATTGGCTCTGCCTGGGCTACACATGGGGAAAAGCTAGGAGGTCAGAGAATTCGTCTGGGATCAATGCAGAGAAGGCTGAGTTTTCTTCATTATCATTATCATTAACAAGCCAGGAGGGGGGAGTAGAAAATGGGCCGGAAAGAGCTGGGTGGCAGGGCTGCTAAGCAAAAGGCAGACCTGAAGGTCCAAGTCCAGCTTGACTTGTGGCGTGGAAAGGAGCTGAACTTCAGTTTGAACACACAGGCAGCCCGACAGGAGTGGTGGGGAGAAGGAGGCGAGACACTGGGCTTTCCTGGCAGGGACCCAGAGCACAGTAAGTTCAATCACCAAGGCAGGACCTGTTTTCAGAAAACGAGGAGCTTGGGTTCCTGCCACATTGTAAGCAAGATAAAGACCCAGCGAAGACTATTCCCCACAAAGGGGAGACCAATCAGCTAGCAATCCAGGACTGGGCTTCCAGGAGAGAAAGTCGGGTCGGGACATAGGAAAAGGCATGCTGAGGGCAAGAGGGCCAAGAGAAAGGAGTCCAGGGGAGGAAACCAAGGGGCGCCTTCAGAAATTGAGGCTGAGAAGCAGCAGGAGAGAGAAGTTAGAGGGAAGTCCGACAAGCAAGTATCCAGTGTAGCCCAGGGGACCAGGCAGGCGAAGACCTACGCGTCGCTGGTGCTGACCTTTGGGAAGCAGTCAATGGTGACGGTGATGTCCTTGGAGTGATGCAGGCAGCCAGGCTGTAAGATGCTGAGGAGTGAATGAGTTCTGAGGACGGGCCCCTGGTCCCCACGTATTAATTGACAGTAAATGAATAGCAATGTGAACAAAAATTATTTGGATCTTTTTACCACCCCCACCCCCACCCATACTTTAAGTATAAATTTAAGATTAAAGAATACGTGCAGCTTAGAAAAAAGCAGCCAGAGAGAGGACAGGAAGTCAAGAGAGCAGAGAGATGGCAAAGCCAGTGAGGACAAGGATTAGGTCTCTGGTGTGTTTATAGTATGCAGGGAGACACAGCCTCAGCCTCTCACAGGCGCTGGCTATTTCTCGGGATAAGAATTATAGGAAGGGGAGAAGCCTTATATTTTGATCCTTGGTACAAATGCAAATCATATTTTGGACTTGAGAGAGGGGAGGCATCCGATGGAAGACAGAAGTGGAGCTGGAGACGGTGACTAATTCTAACAGACCAGAACAACACTTACATTTCCAAAGTATTTGTCCAGCAACTCCACATACCGGTGCACAATCTCTAGTGTCAAGAGCTCATTGTCCTGGTTTTCTATTGCACAGCAAAAATATAAACTAGCATACCTTGAAAAGAAAACAACAGAGAGTAACATTCCAGGACACAGTAAACAACCCAGTGAACATGCAAAAGCTCCTCTCCAGAGGAGCCACCCCTCCAAGAAGCATGATGTTGGCTCGTCACACCCATATCCTCCCGACCTTGTGAGAGATCATGTACAAAGTGTGTGGTGACCGGATGGTGGCTGGTGATCACATGAAAGGCTTTCAACACAATTCTACCTTGAAGACACCTCAGCAGCAGACTAGTCTTTTGTGCCAAGGTCAACGACCAGGGTCCGCTCACGGGCCCTTCTCTGCCGGGGAATTGTTCTCTCTACAGCCCACACCTCTGATGAAGGTCCCCAGAACCTCGCACCCGCTTAGTGTCTACTCCCGTCATTCTGTGCCTGAAATGATGATGTCACCCGCCTGTCTAATCTCCCGTCCACCTTTTGCCATCATGGATTTCTGCTACAAGATTCTCTGCTTCTGGACTCCTAGATCATTCAGTCTTAGCTTGGAAATCCATCCTCTCAGACTGAATGGAGCTGTGCTGTACTCCCAGCCCCCCCCCTTTCTCTTCTTGTTGCTGTGAGGTGCCCTCAAGTCCTTTCTGACTCCTAGCAACCCGATGAACAACAGCATGAAACACTGCCCCGTCCTGCACCTGCCCCATGAAGTCCTTTCTCCAAGGACTGGTCTCTCTTGACCACATGTCCAAAGTATGTGAGATGAGGTTTCACCTTCCTTGCCTCTAAGGAGCATTATGGAAGTACTTTTTCCAAGACAGATTAAGCTTGTCCTTTTAGGAGTCCGTGGTACTTTCAATATTATTGGCCAGCACTGCAATTTAAATGCATTGATTGTTCTTCGGTCTTCCTTTTTCAATGTTGAACTTTCACAGGCAGATGAGATCACTGAAAATACCATAGTTTGGTTCAGGCACATCCTTTCTTTTCAATACTCTGTGCAGCAGATTTATCTAAGGCAATGCAACTTTTGATCTGTTGACTGCTTCTTCCAGGAGCATGGAATGTGGATCCAACCAAGACAAAATCCTTGACAACTTCAATCTTTGCTCCATTTATCGTGAAGTTGCCAATGGTCCAGTTGTGAAGATTCTGTCTTCTTTTGAGATAGCTAAAGTTTATTGTGCCAACCTGGCCGATAAACACATGTGGGATTAATTGAAGGGCAGAAGGATAAATGGCTCGGTGAGATTTGTCTTGCTAGTTCTCAGGTCTCTTGCTTTGTGATGGTCAGACCAAGGTGCAGCTGCCTTAGCCAGTTCCCTGCTTCAGCTGGCAAGGCTGACTTCCTGCAAGACATCCCCAGGGAGAAGTTTGCAGGGACCTACCCAGATGCAGCCCTGGGTTCTGGAGCAGCCGTGTGGAGACCCCTGTCAGCGCTGAGATGCTTACACTCTCACTGATTCGGCTTTCCTCCTGCAGTCAGAATCATTGAGTGTGTTTTGTGAGATGGAGGAGGACTTTGTGGATTGGTATCAGACATAAGGGCTAATGTTGGACTTGTGAGTTTGGGCAGCACTGGGTTGGGATATTTTCTTGATGTGCACTTACCCTTTATATAAAACCCTCTCTTATACGTATGAGTTTCTGTGGATTTGTTTCTCTAATGTGCCTAAACTAACACATCTGTAAGTTGAGTTGTAATCCATACTGATGGCTCCCATCCTTGACTGTTATCAGCAAACACTTCAAGTTCTTCTTACTCTCAGAGCATTCATTTTCCCCACAAAACAGCTCCTTCTTCCTTGTGAGTGGCAAGGCCTGCCTTTCCAACCCTGCCCCCCCACACACACACACAACTGGTGCCCTTCCAACCCTGCCCCTACACACACACACACACACACACACACACATACTATGTACCTGGTGCCCTTCTAACCCCACCCCTACACACACACACACACATACACCGAACTACATGACTGGTTTCATAAAGATATGGACCAAACCAGTCTGCCTTGCGCAGTGTTGGACGCCCGGTGCCTGCAAAGATCTGCCGAGAGAACCACCAAAGGCTACTCATTACAGAATTGTCCAAATTACAAATGAGTCCGCAGATGGAGAGCGAAGACAAGCGTTCTGTCAGCAGGTCCTTTCTGGCCCTCTGCTTCCCCATCACCTAACGAAGCCAAATATCCACAGCCTTCGCTGACCTCTCACAGGACCTGAAAACAACCCAGCCTCACAGCCGCCAGGTCAATTCCAACCCATAGCGGACAACCCCCCCGACTCGTGCTAAAAGCAGAAGGAGCGTTACCCAGGTACTTCATCATTTACTCCATTCAGTGTTTGTGTGTGGCGATCACATCTGTCTCCATGGGCTTCATCAGCCCCCTTTGTAAGGGCATCTCTAACAGGGCTCTGCCGCCTGGAAGCAGAGTACGACTGCTAACTATCAAGCGGAGCCCACAGTCGCCTGTGAGTTGATTCCGACTCGTGCCAGCACATCAGAGTAGAACTGGATTCCAAAGGTATCTGGAGCTGATGTCTCGGAAATAGAGGGCCAGACCTTTCTTCCCCAGTGCTGGGGGTGGGCTCAAACCTCCAGCCCTTTAGTTACCCACCACGTGTGTTTACCGTTTACCTCAATGTCTACGGACCCTGGATCTGGCTGAGGCATCCATGATCTGCGCCTTCATGGGTAAAATGGCTCTACCTCTTCTTGGGGGCCTTGGAGCGCCCAGCTCGAAATCAAGCTTCCTCTCTCCATGGAGAACATCGGCTTTGAAGCCAGAAGGATTCTGGCTGGTCCAATCACCACTCCATCACTGGGACCGGGGACTCGCTAGTAGCACAGGCTCACTGTGCTCTTGGTTCGCTCCTTGTCGGCAGACATCAACAGTCACTATGGGAAAGTGGCCCAGGCTATCAGTCCCCATCAGTCTGACAAGCGCTGGCACTGTTTCTTCCCCATACCATCTGTTACTAATGGAAAATAATCCTCTGATGTAACAAACAAGCAAGCTCATGAGAGCTGGAATGCTGTGTCTTGCCAGAGGTTGGATCCCCGGCCATTAGCCCAGGAATATCGTAAAACCAAAAACCAAACTCACTGCCATCGAGTCAGTGCTGACTCACACCACTCTTCCTGTGGGTTTTCGAGACTGTAACTGTTTATGGGAATAGAGAGTCCAGTCTTTCTCCCTCAGAGCTGCTGGTGGTCTCTAACTGCAGACCATGTGGATTGCAACCCAATGCGTAACCCACTATGCCACCAGGGCTCCTCAGGTTACATTAGGTGCTCATAAAATAATTGCTGTACACATTGTCAGTGTGTAGATTAAGTACCTATACTCCATCTTGCCCCATGAAAGGCCTTTCAACGAATGGGGGCTCTTTTCTAATTGGACTACCGATACACATCTTTGAGCCCTGTCATCAAAAAGTTTGATATAGTGGTGGGGTTGTGGGGTTGCCATCCAATGCTTGGGATTAGAACAAACCAAAGCAAAGATGAGCAATTCCATTCTCATAAAGTTACTCACACCTTTTATAAACCAGCTTTAGCTCCTTCCAGTCAATAAAGCTGCTTGTCCTCTGGCCACGGGAGAGAATGAGTTGAACAATTTCCCGGGTGATCTTTTTCCGCTCTTTGTCCGGGAGAGTGGTGTACCATTTCTGCAGCCGCAACTTCCCTTGTCGACTGAAGAGTAATATGAAATGGATCTGGAACAAACGGCAGGGGACAAAACCAGAGCCTGGTCAGCTAAGTCATTCTGAGGAGATGCTGAACGTCTGCAGCGTGGTTTTATAAAGGCGCACAATCGAGAAGGGGTCCAAGATGACTTACCATCATGAAAATTCGCTCATGGGACCACTGATCAGCCATTCAGAGGAAAAGGAAGTGTGCGCGCCACAAAAATAGTACACTTCTATTAACTCACTGCCACCAAGTCCACGTCCACACAGAGTGTCCCCAGGCCAGGGCAGAACAGCTGTCCCTGTGGGTTTCTGAGATGGAACTCCTTACGTGAGTAGAAAGCCTCGTCTTCCACCCACGGAGCAGCTACTGGTTTCAAACTGCTGTCCTTGACCTTCAGCAGCCCAGCGTGTGACTGCTGCACCCCAGCGCTCCTTGTATGAGGGGAGAACGGCAGGTGAGTTGTTTGGGGAAATTTTGTGGTGGTTTTTGGGGTTCCGTGGCTTTGCTTACTTATGTTAAGATTCACTGACCCACGACGGGGCAGAGTTCAAGGAAGCATAAACCTTTTAGGAAAAAACATAGCATTTATCTTTCACAAGTAAGAAAAAAAATGAAGACAGTGTATGGGTTTACTTAATTCAAATTACATGCCAGTTTCATCTAATAATCACAGAAACACAGTGATAATATAAAATGTAGAAGTGATAAAAGAATACAGACTATAGAAATAATAAAGTTTTGAGAATGATGTACAAATGCGCTTTACACAATTGATGTGTGTATGGATTGCGATAACAGTTGTATGAACCCCTAATAAAATGTTTAAAAAAAGAAAGAAAGAAATAATAAAGAATATAGAAATAAAGACGAGAGAAAAAAGGAAGGGCAACGAGGGAGGCTGTAAGAAGGGACCGCAGGAGAGAATTAAATGCGAGCTTTAGAATCAATCTTCTCAAGTTACCGTGGTCTTGGCAACAAAAATGGACTTTAAAGCAGTTTAAATGGTATAGGAAGCCCCCTGACTTGATTTTCAAATAAATCTCAAAATGTGTACAAGAAGTAGAGGTTCATATTTCAGCGAAATATTATAAGCTTCACGCCAGTAGGCAAGATTATGACATTTAGAAATGTGCTTTGTTTCCTTGGAGATAGGGTGAATTTGATTTTCAGAAATGGCCACATTTATTTGATGAGAGATTATGTTTTCTCAATCCACGGCATTAGAAGAGCAGGGTTAGAATCCTAATTGAGTCTGTTGTGCTAGGATAGTTTCAAACAAACAAACAAAAGACTTAAAAACTGCCTTCAAGTATGTTTGGGTTAATACAGAGGAAGCAACACACACTGGAGACCAAAGCGAAATAATTTTTAAAACTAACCAAAAGAGAAAATTGTTTTGAAAATAAAATATTGACCACAGGCTTTACGTCTCTATGGTGGATTGCTTTCTGACTCTTCTTGGTTGCAACCCAATGGCAGGACCACATGTCTGTTTTCCTAAAGGACAATGGAGGGCCATCTCTGACCTCCTCTGGCTTCCAATTTGCCATGGCATCCTGGGGTCAGATGTGCCTCCGTGGTCCATCCTTCTTCACCATCCTCTGACACCAATCGTTCCGCTCATGCCTGGGTTAGAAATTCACTGTAGTGGCCATGCAGAGCTCACAGACAATACTCCCAATTAAGGGAGTGGACTAGGGAAGTTGATAGGTTACCACAAGTCAGGATCAGCAGTCACTGGTTTCCTCAGTCAACAATTGAGTCTCTCTCTAATTCATCACCTCTCAACCACGTGGTACCCAAGTCAAGTCTCTTTCTGGTTCTTAGTCTCTCTACCACATGGCACCTTGGCCTTTGCCTCCATGGGCCAGGAAGCCTCCATGGCCCGGTGTGTCTCTCATTATGCCCCACAGTTCCATCCCCTTGGGCCAGAAGGTACCCCTCCTCTGACTCTCCGTGCCACCGTCTGTGAGACTTCTGGTCTCAGCAGCTTCACCACTTCAGACAGAGATCCTGAACGTGATCTTCCAAGGTCCTCTCTTCTCCACCACTTCAGAAATGGCTCATCCTTTTAGCCAGGGTGTGATAAGGAAAACTGGCCACTCCTCTCTGTTAGCGGAACACACACCCTTTCTGCATAGTCCCACACCCAATCCTTTGGTGAGGGCTAACCGAGACTTGGGTAGAAGAGAACCATTAAGAAAGAGTACTCCAGCAAAGGGCATTTATAGAGGTCTAAATAAAGGCATGTACATATCAAATATATTTATATATGAGGATATGGAAATAGATC